GCATCTTCTACCCTGCCTTTGGCACTTAACCTTTTCTGCCGCCTTTTGCTCTCCCCACCCCACACTCATCCACCCTTTATCGTCAATGACATGCCAAGGAATTAACACACAAATGCCTTGCATAGAAATAAAATGATGTGCAGTCTGTCCATGTGTCAAATGAAAAAGAAAGATCCAGCTGTAGCAAAGGATATACAATAACCTGAATTGCCAGGATGCTGCTTGGCCTAAAAAACACACCTGTAAACCAATATAAGGAAGATCAAAGAGGTGTATGTCCAGTAATAGATGCCCACAGGCTCCAACTGAATCTTTAAACTCACCACCACCACCTCAAACAGCATTACAGCACACCTGCCATTACCAGCGGCAATGGGAGTCTCATGTGTTCATCTCATAGTTCTTAGTAGCATCCACTGGTGTCATCTGCTGCAAGTAGGCTGTTCATATTACAAACAGCCTGTTTGTGAGGATGTTGCATGCCACTCTGGCAGGGATGGGAGACCAGTTGGACCACAAGTCAGTGGTGTAGTGCGGGGGACACAGGGGTGATTGCTCCAGGTGCAAAATTGTTAGGGATACAACATTTCAGCACCTGGTGCTACCTCAGTACAGCTGTGTGCTGGCAACCAATGCTACGCTACTGCTACAAGTCCCATTAGATCCCTGACCATTTGCCATGCTGGCTGGGGCCAAGGAGAGTTGGAGTCCAACAACATCTGGATTCATCCATACCCAATAGGAAGTGTGCATAGGTTTCCCTTTCCATGCCTGATGTGTTCCTGTGCGTGAGCAGGAAGGAAGCGAAGGAAAGAACTTTCCAAATCAATCAGACTTTATTCAGTAAAAGTCTATATTGACCTTGAATGTGTATAATTTGTTGTTCATTATTCCTAGAGGCAGCCTATATCTCTTTTCTACAGCGCATTTGAAAACCAATGGAACAAATTATTCTTTACTGCTCTTTTCACATGGCAGAAATTAATTGACACAAAAAAGAATTAAATACAAAACCATGTTTCCTACAAGCATTTAACACATAAATGACCTTAAGCATTACTTCAGCAGATGCACACACATAACTTTATATATATATATATATATATATATATATATATATATGCAGGTTTTGGTGTCCTCGGGTGTCTTCCCGTGTAAAAGTTGGGGTGTCTAGGCGACGTTTCGACGAGGTCTCACTCGTCATCTTCAGGCTGGTGCTTTCGGCTTCTTGTTACTGGAACAGAGCAGGATCTCAGTGTTTGAGTTCCTATAAATACTGTTGAGGGGGTGTGGTGTATAGCCTCCAATGTTCTGGGCAGAGAGGAAGTTCCCAGGCTAGTGTGCCTTTTCTTCTTTTGTTCCTTAATTACTTGGGGGATATCTTGAGTGATTTCTTGAGTGATATCCTGAGTACCACTTAGGTGGGTCATTAGGTGTGGATTAGTTGCTAAAGCCTTCGTGTCTTGACCTCTTGAACTTTGTGAAGAGTTTTTCTGAGAAGATGGCTGTATTGCATTTAGTTGTGCTCTGGCTTGGCTTCGTGTATAGGGGCGAGCTGTGGTTTTGTGTCCTGTGCCAGCCAGATCTGTGTAGGGATTGCAGGGGGGTGCAGCATCCGGAGGTGCCACCATGGTTTGGCTACTGGATGGTGTCTGTAATTTATCTGTGGAGAGGGTCTGGGTTTGGGTCTGGTGTGGTTGATTGGTGATGGCGTTCTGTGTGCCTCTGGATCTGGTGTCGGTTTTTGTGGGGAGGGCTAATTTCCAGATGTCTGGCAGGCGGGATGTGTCGTCACGCTTGTTCATGTTGTGAGGGTGTTTCTCTATCTCGATGGCTTCCATGATTATTCTCTTGTGGTGATGTTCCATGTTAGAGAGCAATTTGGAATCTGCAAAATTAATTTCGTATCCTGTTTCTTTCATGTGTTGGAAAAGAGAGGAAGTTTTTTCTTCTTTTTTGACGGCATTCTTGTGTTCTGCGATACGTGCATTTATTCGTCTGTTTGTTTGTCCAATGTACGTGGCTGGGCAGACTTTGCAGGGTATTTCATAGACCCCTTGGTTTTCCAACTGGATTTTATCCTTGGGGTTTCTGAGGATATTGGCTATTTTTTGGTTGGTGCAAAAGGCTGTTTTGATATTGTGTTGGTGCAAAACAGCCTTTTGCACCAACCAAAAAATAGCCAATATCCTCAGAAACCCCAAGGATAAAATCCAGTTGGAAAACCAAGGGGTCTATGAAATACCCTGCAAAGTCTGCCCAGCCACGTACATTGGACAAACAAACAGACGAATAAATGCACGTATCGCAGAACACAAGAATGCCGTCAAAAAAGAAGAAAAAACTTCCTCTCTTTTCCAACACATGAAAGAAACAGGACACGAAATTAATTTTGCAGATTCCAAATTGCTCTCTAACATGGAACATCACCACAAGAGAATAATCATGGAAGCCATCGAGATAGAGAAACACCCTCACAACATGAACAAGCGTGACGACACATCCCGCCTGCCAGACATCTGGAAATTAGCCCTCCCCACAAAAACCGACACCAGATCCAGAGGCACACAGAACGCCATCACCAATCAACCACACCAGACCCAAACCCAGACCCTCTCCACAGATAAATTACAGACACCATCCAGTAGCCAAACCATGGTGGCACCTCCGGATGCTGCACCCCCCTGCAATCCCTACACAGATCTGGCTGGCACAGGACACAAAACCACAGCTCGCCCCTATACACGAAGCCAAGCCAGAGCACAACTAAATGCAATACAGCCATCTTCTCAGAAAAAACTCTTCACAAAGTTCAAGAGGTCAAGACACGAAGGCTTTAGCAACTAATCCACACCTAATGACCCACCTAAGTGGTACTCAGGATATCACTCAAGAAATCACTCAAGATATCCCCCAAGTAATTAAGGAACAAAAGAAGAAAAGGCACACTAGCCTGGGAACTTCCTCTCTGCCCAGAACATTGGAGGCTATACACCACACCCCCTCAACAGTATTTATAGGAACTCAAACACTGAGATCCTGCTCTGTTCCAGTAACAAGAAGCCGAAAGCACCAGCCTGAAGATGACGAGTGAGACCTCGTCGAAACGTCGCCTAGACACCCCAACTTTTACACGGGAAGACACCCGAGGACACCAAAACCTGCATTCCTGTACCCGTGAAAATCTACGAAAGCATATATATATATATATATATATATATATATATATATATATATATAATTTTTTTGCCATAAAATGGACTTCTAAGTGATTAAGGGGCAACAGAGCATGCTTACAAAATGTTTAATATAATGTGGGAATTCAGAGCAAAATGTCAACAGGATGCTAAGTGGTCCTTCCTGGATGACTCACGGAGGGGAACAAAACAGGCTGATGAGTATATACGGAATTGTAAAATCAAGATGGTGAAAAATAAAAGCGTCTGATTGACCAAGGTGGGAATAATCCTAACCCTACTTACCTGGATTTCTATTTATTTATTTATTTATTTATTTATTTATTTATTTAAAATATTTTTTATTAAGGATTTTCTTGTTTTACAGAAGTGTAGTGCCTCGTATTTTTTTTCCATGTAACATTTATTTATTTATTTATTGCCACTCAGAATTGTAGAGTTGGAAGGGACCACAAGGACCATCCAGTCCAGTTCACTGCAATGCAGGAATCCTTTGCCCAATGTGGGTCTCAAACCCACAACCCTGAGATTAAGAGTCTCATGCTCTACTGACTGAGCTATCAGCAGTTCATCACCATTACTTCATATCTACTTTGTTAACTCTGTCTTTATTGTGCCACAAGGCTCTTTGTTGGTTTTGCTTCAATGGGGCTTCCCCTCTGGAAAGGCAACACACAGGGAATATTTGTAAATGGTTGATGGCTGAGATATGTGCATCTATCGTTGGTTCGATATATGTTTTTAAAAATATACGTTTCTGTATCGGCGGATGACAAAATAGAATAGTATAGAATTTATTATTTATACCCCGCCCATCTGGCTGGGTTCCCCAGTCACTCTGGGCGGCTTCCAACAAAGTATTAAAATACAGTAGTCTGTTAAACATTAAAAGCTTCCCTAAAGAGGGCTGCCTTCAAATGTCTTCTAAAAGTCTGGTAGTTGTTTTTCTCTTTGACATCTGGAGGAGGAGGAGGAGTTTGGATTTGATATCCTGCTTTATCACTACCCGAAGGAGTCTCAAAGAGGCTAACATTCTCTTTTGCCTTCCTCCCCCACAACAAACACTCTGTGAGGTGAGTGGGGCTGAGAGACTTCAGAGAAGTGTGACTGGCCCAAGGTCACCCAGCAGCTGCATGTGGAGGAGCGGGGAAGCGAACCCAGTTCACCAGATTACGAGTACACCGCTCTTAACCACTACACCACACTGGTGGGAGGGTGTTCCACAGGGCAGGTGCCACTACCGAGAAGGCCCTCTGCCTGGTTCCCTGTAACTTGGCTTCTCGCAGTGAGGGGACCGCCAGAAGGCCCTCAGCGCTGGACCTCAGTGTCCAGGCAGAACGATGGAGGTGGAGACGCTCCTTCAGGAAGACCTGTGCAAAATAAGCCAATTGCAGTGGAATGGAAAATGGTGGATAAAAGTGCAAGTGGACTAAGGTGCAGTCACATGATGGCACATTCACACATCCTTAGACCCTTTAGATGTTGCCCTTCAACTCTCCTTTGCCATAGCCAATATGGCCAACAGTCAGGGATGATGTTAGTTATAGCACAAAAACATCTGAAGGGTCATAGATTCTCCATCATTACTCCAAAGCAATTGCTTCCAAACTATGGGCAGGATTCAACTAACGACTCCCATCAACCCAAACCCTGTGCAAGGATTTCTACTTGTGCAACAGGGGATTTCCCCCTCTCCCCATGAACTCCCAAAATTTGGCTCTGGTAGGTTCAAGAGGAATTAAAAATTAAAACACAGAATTGAAAAATAATAATAATAAATAATGTGTCGTCTGATCCCAATAGGCTGGTGTCTCATGCTTGCTACCCATTATTCTGGAATCAATCTGACCCGGCTGCTTGTGGGGTTTCAAGTGTGACTGATGCTGCTGGGAAAAGGCAGGCTACGCGACCATGTCCAAATGCCTTAGAACCATCCAACCGCATTTATCAGTGCGGTTCTCCCTACAGAATCTCCTCACAGGTAAGTGCAGACAACAGGGACTCAGCTGCAAATAAAACGTTTTAAGTGTATTTTAAGTGCAATACACAATGTGACACTAGATGGCGATGGTGAGCCATGGAAAATTCAATGTATTTTTTAAAACGCTTTTTTTAAATAAAAGTGTTTTCAAAGTGGTTTTTATATGTGTCTAGATTCCACCTAGGTACCTGGTACCTTTCTTGAACTATGGAATGAACCATAAAGTTAAAAACAGATATATGATAATAAAATGCATTACTGCATTACAGGACTGCTATAATATATGTGAAAGTTCTTTCAAAACTTTACAGCACTGGATAAAAGTTTGTTATTATATCATCACTGTGAAAGTAAACTTTGTGTCCCCTGAGAGGAAGCATTCAAGTAAATTTCCTTTAAAACAAGACAATAAACAAAACCCAATGAAATTCTAGAGATAAAATCTTTAGTTTGAAACAACAGTTGAGGCACTTACAAATTTACTAATGCACCAATAAGCATGGAAATTGAAAAAGCATTAAGTGGTAGCTAGTCATTCACATTAGCCTGTGCAGCCGGAAGATCAGACCATTTATCACAATAGTTAAATTCAGCCCATTGTAAAAGCTTTATATCCAACTCATTCTGAAATGTTAAATGTGGGGAAATATATGCAAAAATAGTATATGTCTCTTCCCTCCACTTTTAGGAGACGGACATAATGAAAGAAATTAAGGAGAACGGGCCAGTGCAAGGTAAAGAAAACAAATGCTCTTGATTGCAAAACCAAAACCAAATTATTGCATCCTGCCCACACATAAAAGCAAGCACTGTGTAAGGTCCTTTGTGCCAACACCACACGTCACACCAAGCATCAAACAGATGTCTGTATCACTGATAGGGCTGCTTACCTCTGTTTAGAGGGAGGGCTCTGATAACATCCCCACCAGTACTATAATGGCAATGTCTTCCCTGCACATATTGTCTTCCTTCCCCTGGTCCTTAGGAACATAGGAAGGTGTCTCAGACAGTCAGGTCGTTGGTCCGTCGAACTCATTGTCTACACTGATTGGCAGCTGTCAACCAGGATTTCAGAAAAGGCATCTTTCTTGATCCTATCTGGAGAGGCTAGGAATGGAGAAATGAAAGAAGCTGCAGGAAACACCAGGAATGGGAAGACAGAACTGCTTTGCTTCCACTTACACCAATGTTTTACACTTACCTTATTTGCTTATGTTTCATACTTCGGACGTAAGCTGGGTTCCTTGTTAGTCTATGACCTGTCAGCGATGAGCCATAGGTAAAATTGGAAGAATAAGGAAAATGAACATTGACTTTGCTTGCTGGTTCCTTTTTTAAATCCAGCTGTCATGCACGTGTATCGTGATTTCTTCCTTTACAAGAGCGGGATCTATAAGCACATTCGGGGGACAGGTGGGCAGCTGCAACATGAGAATCACAGGAGAACCCATTCTGTCAAGATTGTTGGGTAAGTGATGTCTGAAAGCTAAGCAGCATGGATCCCTGCAGAACCTCTGCCGGAACAGTATCCTGCCGCATGGGACCATGGACACTAAATGGCGGACTTATAGCTGAAGTCATTTCGGCTTCTGAAGCACAGGGGCGGGGAATATAATATACACACCTTGTTTTGCTTCCCCTTCCACTTCAGAGCTATAGCCCATAAAGTGGACACAGTGGCTGAGCATAGACATAGGCTACATCCACACCATATATTGAAAGCACTTATTTTTAAAATATTTTAAATTAGTTTTTACTCTTATGCTACTTTAATAGCTATGACGTTCCCCCCAAAATCATGGGAATTGTAGTTTTTAAGGGTGCTAGGTATTGTAGTTCTGTGAGGGGTTTCCTAACCACTCTCAGCATCCTTAACATGCGACGGTTCCTAGCATTCTTTGGGGGAAGCTGCAACTGTTAAAGTGCTATAAGAGAGCTTTAAATGTATGGTGCGGTTATGATTCTTCAACATCTCCTCCTTTCCATTATTTTGCACAACAACTTCTATTGCCCTGGTTGATGCTTACTCTTAGGACTTGAGAGTCTTCCAGTGAATAAATTAAATGTATAAAACTCTAAAAGTAATTGCTTCTTGCCATTATTGATATGCGGTAGAAGTGGAGGTTTACGGATCACTGAGTGGATCGTTAATGCTACAAGCTTGCAATTAAAATACATTTCCAGTGCCTTAAGTTTCTACACACTTGCACTTTAATAAGTGATGTTTCATGATCTTATGTATGAGTGGGTATCAGCTTCCCAAGAAATGGTCTTCTCTGTCTTTTTTAGCTGCCAGAAGGCCAAGAGAGGCTTTGTGCTGCTACAGCAGCTAAAACAGCATCTTCTGTGAGGGCAAGAACTTCACAGCCGTGCCTTGCCTCCCTGGTAGTTTTTATGAATTCCCACAACTTTCTTGCCACTATTTCTCTGGTGCCAACTTGTTCCAGCACTAGGGGGAGTTATCCCAACACATCTTGGGATAAGATTGTTGGAGGCCAGGCCATTCCGGTCAACCTCCATCCCTTCTGAAGCCCACGGTGGTTTGTGATGGAGTTGCACAGGTGCTGCTTGGATGCGGCTGTGAGGTTGCTAGTGTTTTACATAACTGAGCAAGCATCTAAGCCTGGTCCTTAGTGAAACTAGATTTTCTAAAGGGGGTTGTCACAAACTGGCTGCCATGGACACTGTAGTCAGGAAAATCAGGAAACTGAGCTTTGCTGAAATTATGGAGTCTATTGAACTGAATGGTGATAATCCATTCTGTAGTCTAATCAGTATCTGTAAAGGTCTGTAGTCCCAGTTCTGCTAATTTTATCCCGAGCCAAGGAATGGGTAGCTTTGGAACTGAAATAGACATGCAGAGGGCAGAAACTCAGGGGAAATGTCTTCACATTTACTTACTCTCGTTCTGTTTAACTTTGGTTCAGTGAGCTGGCAACTTCCCCACAGAAGAAAGCCCATTAAAGAAAATAAGAAGCTATTTCACTGACAAGAAATCTAAGCTCTAACATTGAGTGCAATTTCCATGTTGACACTGAAAATACACTTCTCATCAGCATAGCAATGAGCAATATACTTTCAGATTCACTCTTCTGTTATTATTTATATTGATTGCTCACCATTTAAAAAAACATATCAGAGGGTGTATACAGACACACACAGCAGTAAAGTGCCTTCTCTGCCTTGTGGAGACACATTTTTTTGCCAGAGTTCACACATTGTAGTCTTCATATTGTTGTCTTTGGTGTTTCTAAAGTGTCTTTTGCTATAATTTTGCAATGCATTCTGAAGTACTTGTGGAAACTGAGAGTGCCTTCTCTTGGGTTGGCAGTCTTCTGGACAACTTTTCTTTAAAAGGAGTGTCAGTGGGTGTTGAAAGGGGAGGGAGCAAAGAAACTAATCTGTGCTAGACACACCTTCTGTGTGTACAGATGACTGTGTTTCAACAGCTTCTCATGCTGCCTGCATAGTGTGCAGGTGTAGACAGTTGCAAAATGATGTCTGCAAAAGTGATTTAGAAAACACCAAACTGCAGTGCTTCAAAGCTTGTATGCAAAGGTGTACACAGTCAAAAGCTCCTCCTTTGATTATTTCATCACCCCCACCCTGATGTACGGGGGAGGTGGAGAAAAAATATATAGCATGTCTGATGAATGCCATCTCTTTGGATAGGTGGGGTGCACTGCCAGATGCAAATGGACAAAAGCAGAAATTCTGGGTAAGTGTACTTGGGCAGTAAGATAGAGCAAAGACAGAGGACCCCAACCAGAAAAAGTTGCTTGTGCTTAAGTCCCACTGAAAATGAATGGGTCAACTTGCAAATTAACTAACCATCCCTTTCAGTGGAACTTACTCGAGCATGACTATCTTTCTCTAGATTGGGGTCATAGCCTTCTTTGCTCATGTAAATTATCTAAATTTGTCTTTCCCTCCTCCCATTTTACTGTTTCACATTCATTGGTTGCATCAAGTCCATGTGATCTTCCATGGCTACCAAAACTGGGGGCTCTCATTGTGGTTGGGTTGCCCACAATGCCAGTTGTTCCTAGCAAAATGCCGTGGTTTTCCTTCTGCTTTCTCACCTTATATTAGTATAGCAATGTTTGGTGGCAGAATGAGTGAAAGTTCTGCTGACTGTTTCCAGTGACTATCAATGGCTGCTAGTCACAAGGCCTAAATTCTTCCTCTACAGCTGGAGGCACATATGCTTCTGAATACCAATTGCTGTAAACCACAAGAAGGGAGAGAATTCTTGTGCTCTAATCTCACAGGCATCTGGTGGACCACTGTGAGAACAGGATGCTGGACTAGATGGGCCACTGGCCTGATTCCGGTTTGAGATATGGCAAACTAAGAGATCAGCTGCTTTAACCTTCTCATACCACAAATATGCATGCCAACCATACCTATTGTCATGACCTTCAAGGTCTAAAACATCAGTGTTTTTTAACAATATCAATTCCCTTAGCCAGCATAAACAGGATGCCTCGTAATACCTTTCTCAAAAAGCAACAGGATAGATATGGATAACATTGTAAGCGAACTGCTTCCCAAACCAGCTGTGGGAGTGCACTGGATGCAGTGTGTACACAGCCTTAGACTACCACATGTCAAAGAGAGTTCAGGGTGTGTGTGTGTGTTGGAGGATAGCCAGGAAAGACTGCAAGTTGGATTGGATAGAGAGAAGCTGCTTAAGCCCTCCCTCCAGCCATTCCCCAGCTCAAAATAACCATTGACAGCCCCATTGGACAGTGGACAAGAAACCACCCAGAGCAGGGAGTATTAGGTTACAAGAAGGAGATACAGAACAACTTCAGCTCATGACTTTTATAGCATTTAGTCTACTCTTGTAATGTCTGGGTGCTGTCAGTGTATGCTAATGGGCTAGATATACTACAAGTTTCACTCCATATAAAGTAGTTCTTTATAAGATATGGGGGCAAGTGGCAGACCTTTTGGAAGAGGACAGTACTATTATTGCCACTGGCGATATGACTCCTTTTCTCCTTTCACTACATCCCTGCTTCACTACGATCTGGCCATTCACAGTAATAAAAAGTTATTTCTTTCCCCTCCTGTAGATTGCTGCAAATTCCTGGGGGAGCTCCTGGGGAGAAAATGGCTATTTCAGGATTTTACGTGGAGAAAACGAATGTGATATTGAAAAGCTGATTATAGCTACGAAGTGTCACCTTTAGCTGATTTTCATTTATATCATTATTACACTCCAAAAGCCTTTTATATACCCAGAATGTACCATCTATAATGTCTTTGTGCATCCTTATGTTTTATTTGTGTGACTGTTTTACCTAACTTAAACGTACTGCATTTCTGTGTGAATTAAAACATGGCTGTACATCCAGCATGATCAAATTCTGTTACTTGTTTTGCTTCCAGCTCCAGGGATATTGGCGGTCTGTCTATCTTTTTCTTCATTAATGGCACAAATGAAAGGTAGCATATGTGTATAACAGCCAGTTCTCATGACCTTCTCCTTCTGTAGCAGATGTCATTACTCAATGGGTGCCAATAATGACTGTGATACCTCAGGCTGCGCATGGCATATATATGCCAATATGCTTGTCTACATGGTACCCAATTAAGGCTGTAATCCTATGCACTCCTACCTGAGAATAAGGTAAAAGGTAAAGGAAGGACCCCTGGATGGTTAAGTACAGTCAAAGGCGACTAGGGGTACAATGCTCATCTCGCTTTTCAGGCTGAGGGAGACGGCGTTTGTCCGCAGACAGCTTTCTGGGTCATGTGGCCAGCATGACTAAGCCGCTTCTGGTAAAATGGGACACCATGATGAGTGCCAGAGCGCACGGAAATGCTGTTTACCTTCCTGTCACAATGGTACCTATTTATCTACTTGCAGTGGTGTGCTTCTGAACTTCTAGGTTGACAGAAGCTGGGACAGAGCAACGGGAGCTCACCACCATCGTACGGATTCAAACTGCTGACCTTCCAATCAGCAAGCCCAAGAGGCTCAGTGGTTTAGACAACAGTGCCACGCGTGTCCCTTACTGGAGAGTAAGTCTCATTGAACACAGTGGTTATTTATGAGCAGACATGTATATGATTGCACCAGGGTGGCCAACTTGAATAAAATATTGTGGGGCCCAGGTAAGCCAGTCCCCTCCCCCATAATTGATCATAAGATCCTGCACACAAATACTATTTGAATGACAATGCTTGTCAAATTTTGGTGGGGCCTGGCCCCCTCAAATATTTTACTTGGGGCCCAAGGGAACTTGGCTCCTAGGAATTGGCTCCTATGTAAATCCCATAGATTTCAATGGGATGAAAAAATCAAACATGTCTATTTTTTCTCCTGAATTGTGACCACTGGCTCCCATCCAGCTCTTGAAAGCAACTGGTTGTAAGGAGTGGTGGTTCTAGATATATCTACTTAAAAAACAAACAAATGCAGCCAGTCTGCTCTTTCTGACCCAATGAGCATCCCAATGCAAATGTAGCCGTGATTCTAAATCCTCTACGCTTGCAGAAAGCTACTTTGCATGGCCCTCTCTTGGAAAGGCAGGGTACATGTAATCAAATGATTCCAACTCTCTGTTCTCCATATGCCATATTAGCAGCACATGCATATAGGGGCTTGCGCAGAAGTAAGTCCTGTTGCATTCAGTAACACCCCCAAATAAGTGTGCTTATGATTGTCGCCTAATTCTCTGGGTCTGCAAAAGAATCTACAATGTTCCAATAGCATCTTGCCAAAATGGTATTGATAACTACAGATGCTTTTATGCAAGGACTAATCTGTTCACATTACATGTCTCTGGGTGAGAGCAATTATTTTATTGAAGTAGACATGCTGGAAAACAGGTGTGTTTTCACACACACAAATGAACACACTGATTATCAGGCCTTGCGACACACACAGTTAACAGTTACAAAACTGCAGTATAGTCATATAATTATTACCTTAAGTTGGAACAAAAACCCTCTATCTTACTTCCAGAAGTACTGTTCAAATTCCAAGCCAGTAAGAAGGAAGTATCCAGTCCATTCCAGGGTGCAAAATCCTTGCCACACTTTTGTGGCTGCAAGCCTATTCAAATGACTTACTAGGTCATCAGAAGCAGGTGCATAAGAGGCTGTTGTTGAATTTCCTGTGAATTTCCCCACCTAGTGGGGTGGATTTTGGCCTTAATCTTTCCATCTTTTGAGGAGTGGCCATAATGGCCAAACGTCTGGTTTGTTTTCTTTCTTTGCACATAATGGCCATAATTTTTATAAGAACCACTTGCAGATGCTGATTCAGTGTGATAGAGTTGTTATTGTGCATGCCAATGGCACAGTTATAATAAACAGTGGAGAATGATAGGTTTAGAAAGAACCTTGTATTTTGTATCAGGGATTTCTGATCCCAGCACCTTTTCCTAACTATTACCTTACACACTATCTCTCAAAACAGCCTTTCCCTTCAAAACAAACAGATAAGGAGCAACAACAAATCTTGCCGTTTGTGGACCCAAATGCATGCCATATTGACTTGAATCAAGTTGCTCTAGAGTCTAGACATTATCAGGATACTTCTTTACCAATCATTCTTAAATCGCATTTCAGGCATCATGAAGTGAAAATTGGCTGTTGTCAGTGTGAGGCAACCTTTGGAATTATTGCATATGTCAGTTTGAGTTTTACCTCTTTAAGCTTCTCAACTGCTTGAAACCAAATAGGCTCATTTCCTTCAGATGTTTTCAAATCCAATTGCATTCATATGCTTTATTTGGGAATATGCTTGAGTTAAACCTCTGCTTATATAACCTTCCCCTAAGCTTTTACAGATATATTTGAAGGCTGAATGGCCAGAAACATCACTATAATACAAAAGTCTGCCAAGTGAGGGGGAGGGAATGAATGGAACTGCACACTTGGAAAGTAAAGAAATAAGACTAGCTCATCATTTCAAGAAAATGGAAAACTCTATCACTCAGAGGTGGGTGTTAAATTGATCAATAAAACTGTCTGTTACAAATAGTTGCAAGATTAAGGTTGCAAACTTCCCGAGTGCCAGAATGAATGTTATAGGAAGCCCTGTTTGTTTATTCGCATATCTACCCCATTCATAAAGCAGAAATCGTCATCTAACTATTATTATTATTTATTAAATCTATACTATCCTTCCTCCAAAGATCATGGGGTGGTTTACAATATACAAACACAAAAATACACACCATAGCAACAAACAAAAACAATAATTCCACACACAATACAGTGGTGCCCCGCAAGACGAATGCCTCGCAAGACGAAAAACCCGCTAGACGAAAGGGTTTTCCGTTTTTCGATGCGCTTCGCAAGACGAATTTCCCTATGGGCTTGCTTCGCAAGACGAAAACGTCTTGCGAGTCTTGTGATTTTTTCGCTTTCCCCCCTTTTTTCTAAGCCGCTAAGCCGCTAATAGCCTTTTAGCCGCTAAGCCGCTAAGCCTTTAATAGCCGCTAAACCGCTGAACCGCTAATAGCGCTAATCCGCTAATAGGGTTGCTTCGCAAGACGAAAAAACCGCTAGACGAAGAGACTCGCGGAACGGATTATTTTCGTCTTGCGAGGCACCACTGTAGTTTACAAGTCCATAGAATGTTAGTCAGCCAGAGGCCTGGTTGAAGAGAAACACTTTTGACTGTTACCTAAAGAAACTCAATGAAGGTGCCAGGCAAGCCTCCTTGGGGAGAGCATTCAACAAGCAGGGAACCACCAGAGGAAAGGCCCATTCTCGTGTTGCTGCCCTCCAGAGCTCTCATGGAGGAGGCACACGGAGAAGGGCCTCAGATTATGTGGGTCAGTTCATGTGGTGTGAGGTAGTCCTTGACAGTGCCACATCACCACATAGGCAGAGCACCAGCCTTTGAAGGACCCTGAGACAATGATCAAAATAATATTGATTTGATCTTGAAAGAAAATTACAATCGAGCTTTCTTAGTTCATTATTATCCCACTAGAGCGCATGCACAAATCGTCCCCGTTCCCTGTCCCGCCCCCCAAGATTTTGTCTGGCTAGGAGCCTCCACAGGATTTAATCAGGGCTGCCATATGTCTGGGATTTCAAAGGCGAAATTGATGTCCGAGGGGAATTTCCTAAAGGCGGCGTTAAAAAAAGGAAAAATCTCAACAATTTTGGGGTCTTCCTAAAAAATGTTCAGCAACTTTTGGGGTGTCCTGGTTTTTACTTTTTGAAATACGGCAACCCTAAGCTCCCTGAGGTATTGCAGTCCTGAGCCATTTAAGGCTTGGTATCTAATTTTTATAACAAATAAATGGGTGACTAAGAGAACCCTTGCCTGAGAGCTGGACTGGAAGAAATGGGGCACAGAGAAGAAGGAAGGGAAGGGGGTGAATTTGGCACCTCTTTGGGTGGAAAATCAAATGCCTCCCCACATCAACAAGAAACGTGATTGCCTCTAGCACATTTAGTTTCTCAACGAGTTTCAATGTCTCCTTTAAGTACAAGCAGGCTGAAGATCATGACCATTGATCAAGGGGTGGAGAACTGGTGGTGTCTGAGAAGGAGTTGTACTCTGTCTCCCATCACTCCCAGTCAGCATGACCAAAGATAAGGGATGATGGGTGTTGCAGGGCAGTAGCATCTAGAAGGCTACAGTCCCTCACCTTTGCCTTATGTTAAGCAGTGCTGTCTATTAAAATTCAACAATGAAGTACAAATGTATTACGTATTTCTGTACCTAGTACTTTCTCTTTTTAAGCAGGTGGCTGTGATGATTCACTGCAGTGAACTGTGCCCTGTGAGCTGGACTAAATGAGGGACATTTTGTCAAAAGCATACATACAAATGAATAAATAAGCAGGCACCTTCCTGGAGCCAATTTTGATGTATTTTGATTGCTAAGTAAAGAAAAGTGTGTGTCTGTGTTTGTGAACACTTATGCAAAAAGCATAGCAATTAGTGCCTATGCAAGTCGATGCGAGAGACAGGTACTGCTGGAAACAATAATTACAGAAAAGAGATGATGAATAGCTGTGCTGTGACATTTATAGACAGCACCTGCCTTCATGTGAATATCATAGGGAAGCTTATGGTATGAGAGAAGAACATGGAAATTATGTATTCCCCCCACATTCACCCCTGATTGAGAGCACCTCCAGATTGCTAATATTCTGTGGGAGTATTTAATTTGCATACTAGAACATTGGGTTTGGACAGTTAGAGTGGATTAAAGCACTCTGTTGCCTAGCACAACAAATGTGCACGTGCACACACAAACACCAATTTGGAAAGTTGCAGGGAGATGCATTGAAATGTGTGGGATGAATGGCTGGCTCAAGGGCAGATGTGTAAAAACATTAAGGACATTTCCAGTCCTTAATGTTTGAAACCCCTTTT